CGATGGCGCTCTTCCGAGGCACGTTGCCCAACATGGTGCGCATCGTGCCGTACTCGGCCGTCATGTTTACGACGTACGAAGCCGCCAAGGAGTTTTTGAGCGCGCTTTAGGTGCTGTGCTGTTTTGCGTATTTATCCGGCTCGTCCTATTCTCACGATGCGTTTGAGAGGCAAATTGAGTTTTTTCACTGGCGCTTGAAATGTATCCTTTCTCTGCTGTCTTGCTGGCAAGAACATTGTATGTATATCGGTCAAGGGTGGGGACAGACGCGGTGGAATCGTGCATAACGTTGGGCTGTAGGGGCATTCTTCATTTCTTATTTTGTACCTTATTGCCACCTCATAAACTGCGACCGTCGCACCGATCGCTGGTACACTGTTGGCCTGCGCAGGACCACCGTAGCAGCATGCCAACCGGTTCGGTGACCTGCCCGAAGGTTTGCGAAAACAACGGTTCGGCCAATGCCAGCCGTGTCGACGTGTCGAGATGAACGGCGTAGAGTTTGATTCAAATTAGGAATCCGAAACTATCGATGTATCAGGTTCACTGAGCCCAATCGCGGCACCGCAGCTATCGATCAGCTAGTCGTTTGCACCGTGGTGCGAGAGCGTTTGGCTTCACAAGCGATATTTATGGTTGTCGCCTCGATCCACGCGGCGAGCGCCGACAAGAGCGGGCTTGCGGGGTACTTGCGACAGCACGCCAGCACCGCCGCCTCACGTTCGGCCTTGCGTGACGACGTTGCTTCGAGGATCTTTGCCTCGTCGACGGGGCAAACGTACGGCGGTTGTCGGTAGTCTTCGGCGATCGATGCGCTGCCTTGCATGCAGCACGCATAATCGACGCAGTGCTCGATGCCAAAGCAGTGACCAAGCTCGTGCGTCACTGTGCGGCAAAGTCGGTCGATCCACACATCATTATCCTTGGCGTGCCGAGACGCATTCCGATAGGCAATCGCCGCCGCTTGTATCGCCGCGCTGTTCGTCACATGGCCCAGCGGCCACGCATCATCCGCATCAAAACCATCGACAGTGCGGTCCAAGCGCGGGTTGTAGCGGGCACTCGAGACAAGCGCGACGCGACTGCCGCCGTACGCTCGACCGCACGTAAACACGTCCTCGGGCCCTTCGTACAGGTCGTGTTCGACGAGCCAGAGCACCGCATACGCGTCGTCTGGCACCACATCTTCAAGGAGCGCGTCGAGGAGGTCGTCGAGATGAAGCTGATGTGAAAACGTACGATCCGGCGCCCGACGTGTGCGAATGCGCACAGCGCTCTCGCTGAAGCCCGGGCGCGGGATCAGCCCCACGTACCGGCGGCCGTTGTCCCAGCTTGTCAAGGCCGGGGCAGCCAGCGTTTTCAGACTCATGTCGGTGTAAAAAGCGCGCACGTAGTCCTCGAGGCGACTTGTAGCGTTCCTTGGCAAGGGCGATCGCGACGCGTAGAGCGTCGATGGAAACGACGTCGGTGGCGCGTCCAAAATAGCAGGCAGTACGAGGTAGATCGTGCGGCGCGCCGCCGTCACTTCGTTGCGGTCGCTGTCGGCACGCCACGATGGAAGCGTCTGTCGAGGACATGTCGGGTCGAGGACGAGTTCGTCACCGGGGCGTCGCAGTGGTGGCGGGAACGGCCCCGTGTCGACGTCTGTTTTGCGCTTGGGCATCGCAAGGTACAATTGAAAGTGACCCTTGCGCGTCGAAAAATCGCAATCTCAAAATGGCGGGAAACGAGTAGCCGTTGCGTTCCCGCCCAATACACTCGAGGTCATTAAAGGAGGGTCAACGCCTGGGCTTGCAGCATCCAATGTCGTGTAATCAATGGTTGTAGAACACTTTCTAGCTAGGAGACAGCTAAAGTGACAAGAGTTCGTCCTTGGCCGTGCTGGTCGTGCCCAGTGTCGTCCAGTTGACCAGATAATGGTCAAAGTCGAGTCCGGACGCCCACTACCATTATGATTGCACCTTGTGGAGCGGTAAGTGATGGAGAACGTACATCGCACATGTCGTTGGCTTGGGCTTCCCAGTCGTCAGCGTCAAAATCGACTTGGTTTTGGTAGGCGTCGAGGTCGTCTTCGGGTGCCGCTCCCGGCTCGGTCGTCGTGGGTTGGACATGTTGTCTATGGTTCGTCGCGTGTGTTGCTGTGTTAGGATGTCAACGACGTACAAGTACAACTGCTTCATCCACTGCCGCTTCTTCTCCTTGCGCTGCTGCAGCAGCTGCTGTTGACGCACGACGCGAAGATGGTGGTGGGCCTTGCGCTTGCTTGCCGTGACAATCTATTCCTCCACGGTGGCTATTTGCACGCAACGAGGACGTGGCGTCAAACCGTGACAGGATCCACGTCACTTGTCGGCGCAAGCACTTTGCACGTCACGGGCCGCCACCCGTTGTTGTCCCAGCGGCGGTACCACCCCCTTGTGTCGCTGCCGCACTGGTTCGCACCGTAGAACGCGTTCCCGACGCGGATGATTTTGGTGACCCCGACCCCTACCCTACCCCTGAGTCCAATTTTCAGAGCCACATGTACAGTACCCGGCGCGGTCGAATGGACGTTGATGTTGCGAGGACCCACTTGGTGGGCCGTTGTATAGTCTTTTGGACTAAACGCGTTCATGTCGCAGACTGCGCCGCGTGTAAAGATCTTGTAGTAGATCGTGGGCGGGAACGCCGAGCCGCCGAGACGAAACCGCACCTTGTATCATCAATCCTCGTCGACTGTAGCATAAAGGACGTACTTGTGCGCTCGTGGCGGCATCGAGCAAATGGGCTTCTGCGGGGTTGATCGCCTTGAGCATGAGCATCGGGTCGCCAGTATTGCGAAAGTTGACCAGGTCGCGGTAGTAGCGGTAGATGCGCTTGTTGGTGTAGCCGCGCCAGAGGCACTGGATGCGCATGGCGGCGCGGTCCCGCGGCGTCATTTCGTAGACGGCCAATGCTTTTTGGTAGTACATGCGCCACTTGTACTGGATCTATCGTCCATAGTCCATGTTGTACAACTTGTCAGTGAACTCTACGAAGAAAGAAGCCACAAAACATCACCTGCATGGCCGCAATGTGGTACATGGGATGACGCTGCAGATCGTACGCCCACGCAAGCTTGCGCATGCGATACCAGGCCTACAAGTGCAATAGTTCAACTTGACTAAAATGACATGATTTCCAAACCTGAATCCGCGTGGCGCAGAAGCGACGAAACCCGTCCCGGTCCTCAAACGTGCCGTTGTGATGGGCGATGAAGCGGTGCATGAGCGACATTCGGAGCACTCGCTTGACAGGTTTGGTGCCCTTCTACACCCATTGCTGCTAAGACACGGCAAAGTACAAATACTAAAACGAACCTGGAGCGCCGTTCGGGCTATCGCACCCCGAACCCGCCTCTACAACAAGAGCAAGGAATGAGAAGCAGAGGTATAGAGCTGTCGAGATATAGTTAGTACTTGAATGAGAATGGCCGCGAGGTTTTGCGCAGCCATGGGGTATTCCCACGGTCGCTGGACAATGCCCTATTCGGTGGGCGCATTTATACTGTGGGAAGATATTGTCATCGTGTTACGCGGCGTTCGCAGCGCGACTTGCGCATGAAGAGCGACTCCCACACTAGCTGGCGACGCACTCGAACGGGGTGGCGCGACTTGGTCGGACGCGTGCGAAACGAACTAGAGACACGCGCTTCACAGGTCGAGGGTATATGCAAGGTACCTCTGGTACCGACCGGCGTGAATGCCAATGTCGCGAAGCTTGCGCTCGACGATGCTGCGCTTGCGGTCCTTGGCACTCACCATATCGGCTCTCAATCTATTTTGAGCCTCAGCGTTGAATGACTACTAGTATGCTACATCGATGTACTACATAATGCAAAGTTGGTTTAGGCGAGCCGTGTCATTCAACTCGGCGTGCCATTGATGCCACTCGTGCACCGACTCGGACTCGTCAGTCGAGTGCAAACGTCGTCTCACTCGCGTTAACGAGAGTAGTGCGACGGTGGAGTCCATTGTGCCTTCCCGCGCCGATACCTTTTGAACAAGATGACGGAGGACAGCATGAGCATGCTGGGTACTTTGGGTTCAAGCATGATCGAGCGAGCGTCGTACTGTAGTTTTTCATACTGTTGCTGACCACTGCATCGTCTAATGTCGAGATGCGCACGCGACCTAGCTTGCTCTGGGTCGTCATTCGATGCAGGCTTTCTGCAGGTGGTCTGGGCAGCAACGAGAGTCAACGTCTCGAGCACAATCGCTCGACAGGTTTGGGGTGGATGCCAGCTGATCGTCCCGCCGCCGATCATCTTTTTCATTCGCGTATTCAAGTACAGTTCAGAATTTTCGACCAATCAGAATATGCCAGTCATGCCCATCACGCACGGCGCAAGCGAATGCAAGCTCGGGCCAGCATTGTTGCACACAACATAATCCGCCGCCATGGCAAGCTGCCCGTACGCTGCGTTCGAATCGACGCTCACGACAGACGCGCGCTACTGCGGTGCGGCGCTGCCGTGTGTCGTGGACGCGTCCTGCGCGATGACGGCAACAGTGGCAGCCACCGGCCGCGTCCGCAGCATGGTCCACCTTGGCGACCTCTCCCGCTGGCCCACAAGCCACATGTACTACATGTGACCGGACCGCGATATCGACTCACAGCGTGTGTAGGCGCTTTGACGGCAGCACCAATTTGAGCCTAGCGGACACGGTCCTGCCGGCCGCCAACATCACCGGCCTGTATGTCGTCCATTCTTGCGCTTGCTCACGGCTCGCCATAGGTACTTGACGGACTGCGGCTTGACCGACTGGCCACCTTCGCTCGTGCTTCCGCATGGCTTGGAGCAATTGTACGATGTCCTGTATCCGTGTACTGCTGACGTGGCATTAGGAGCGTGAGCTGCAACAATCTCACGCAATACCCCGCAATACTTCCCCTTGGTCTGCACGCGCTGTACGAAGTTCATATGTGTGCTGTCCTGACGCGAGATGTCGTTAGGTCGCTCAATGGCAACCAGCTAACGGAACTCACGAACGTTGTCATTGCTGCCGACGACTTGTAACGTTTGCGCATCGGTGGTTCGAACTTGTTGACATGGCTGGTAGTGACGCAGCGAGCAACCGCATCGAGTATGTAGCCAACGTCTCGTTCGATTGCGAGATCGTGTACGTACAAACCCGTGTCTTTCACGGGTTGCGCATCGCTGTGTGCAGGAAGCTCGGTGGTGGCAAGGCTTCGTCTGGAAACCCCATCACGTCGCTGGTCAACGTGACCTTTTCAAACCGTCTCACCAACCTGTACAACGCTCCATATTGTCTTATTGTGCATGTAGTGATCCGTGACTAGGGACTGCGGCTCGTGCAACGTAACCCACTTTGTTGTCGACAGCGCGTCGTACACGGCCTTGTCCAACGCGATTTTGCACTTTGGTGCCATCGCTTTCAACGCCACCGCGTGCGCTGCAGCCAACGGCGTCGCCAAGCCGCTCGACAATAGCTTCGTCTGCGTCACGCGTACGTTCTCTCGTATATCATGACTGTGATTGGTGCCTCAATACCGTATATAGCGCCGGCTCGCAGCGATACCATGGTCTTTGCGGCGTCCAGCGCAGCATCGCCGTCGTCATCGACCTTGATTCTTATCATTGTGGTCCTTATCGTCGTGCTGTTGGGCCTCGGAGTTGCCCTGTTTTGCCTGTGGAAGCGCCGCCAGAGCCCGCCGACCCCCAAAACCATTGGGCACCTCAACGTGCGGGCGCCAAACGTCATGACCAATGTGTCACCGACGGCGACGGCCAAGCTCAACCCGATATTAGAAGCGCTAACGTCGGTGCGGCTGCCCTTGGAGGACGTCATGCTCTTGCGCAAGCTCTCGGAAGGCGCGTTCGGCGAAGTCTGGAAAGGCACGCTCAACTCGGAGATCGTCGCTGTCAAGAAGCTCTTGCCACACAAGGCCGATGTCGAAGATGCCATCAAATTCATCGACGAAGTCAAGCTCATGGCCGAGTCTGTCTTGCGATCTCTGTTGCCTGAGGACTAAGTCGGAGGGTGTAGGTTCAAGAGTCCGTACATTGTGTCCTTGCGTGGCGCTGCGTGGACAAGCCCCGTCGAGCTCCTCGCAGTCCTCGAGTACATGGACAAGGGCGATCTCAAGGACTACCTGGCACAGACGACTCCGGATCAAGTCAGCTGGACCGAGAAGCTCGGCATTCTGCGGCTCGTCATGCGGGGTCTTGCGTACCTGCATGCGCGCAAGGTCATTCACCGCGACCTCAAGTCTCGCAATGTCCTCCTTGACGCGAAGAAGGGTGCCAAGCTCAGCGACTTTGGCGTCTCCAAGGCCGAGAGTGAGAGCACGATGACGTGTGGCGTCGGCACGTATCGCTGGATGGCGCCCGAAGTGCTTCAGGACTCGCACTACTCGGTCGCGGCCGATGTCTACTCGTTTGGTACTACGCCGACCCTACCCCGTACACTGTGTCAGCGATATTTCGTAGGCATGATCATAGCGGAAATGTGCACGCACATGATCCCGTACGCCGACTTGAAGACCGCCAAGGGACAACCGGTCGTCGACACGGCCATCATGGCCATGCTCATCCAAGGCACGATCGAACCGACCTTCTCGGACGCCTGCCCTGCGCCGCTTCGCGCACTCGCCCAGCGCTGCACCTTGCGTGTCTCGACGGACCGACCGGCGGCCGAAGACCTTGTCCACGAACTCGATGCCATGACGCTCTAAGCCTGGGTGCTACATGTGTGCCCCTGGGTACTTGGTTGTGTTGACGAATTCAACACTAATTTGACAAAAACATTCACGCTTATGCACTGTACTAGTACGGAGACGTGCTAGTACGGTAGTGCAGCATTGCAGTTGGGTGTTGACCAGGGTGTTGACGGTTCGTGTTGCACCCGATACTTTCTTAAAAAACCGTTTTGATGAAAGTATCAACTTGATACACCGCACGACGTTCACAAGTCCAGGATCAGATGTTGCTGCCACCTGCGGCCTTGCTAACCACGTACTGCCAGACGTACTGCACTGGTTGCATTTTGTTGGTGTAGGTTGATATTGAACAAAAGGTTAGAAATGCACAGCACGGCCCATTAACGGTCGCGACGACTCAAGGCGCCAACGTCGCCTTCCACTTGCCCCACGACATGCTCGCAAAGTAATCTTTGCCTTTGGTGGTGCGCACGAGCCAGTCGCCGACGACGACGCCGCCAAACATGGGCAGCTGCCCGACGCCGCCGCCTGGACCTGTTGGCACAAGCATGGCCGTGATCTCGCTTGTCTTGAACGGCGGTACGGGCTTGCCTTTCTGAATGGTCTTGGCCAGCTTCTTGGCGAGAAACGTTGCTTGCTCGCCTGCAGTCATGGCCAGCTTGGGCGACGGGTGGTTGCTCGCGTCGCCAAGGACATAGACATGATGCAGTGATGGGTCGTCGACTTGGAGATTGCTCTTGACACGGATACCTTGCGGCGTTGCGAGCGATGGGCGAAAGGCGGCCATGAGCTGCGTGTTGGGCGTCATGCCCGACGTCACCAGCTGTACGTCGGCCGTGAGCGTCTTGCCACTCGCAAAGGTCAGCGTCTGACGCTCGAACGCGCTCGCACTCGGACGCTGCGCGAGGCGTTCGTTGAGCAAGAGGTGGACACCACGCGCTTCCAAGCTCGCGACGAGCCGCGCGCGAAACTTGGCCGAGACACCGGCGTGCGCCATGAGCTCGTGGTTGCCGTCGACCAGCGTCACCGTCTTGGTCGGGTACGCGCTCGCAATTTCGCCGGCAATCTCGCACCCGACAGCGCCGCCACCGATGAGGACGACGCTGGACGCGGCGGCAATGCGGTCAATGCTCTCGTGCAGCGCGGCTTGGATGGTGGCGCGGTTGACGACGTCGCCTGGCACTTTGATCGGACGCGGGTAGCTGCTGCCCGTTGCCAACACGAGGTAGTCGAAGCGAAGGGTCGTCGTCGACTCGGCGAGTGCGCCATCGACGATCGCACGTACGGTCACCTCGTGGTCGGTGATGCGCTCGGCCGCGCCGCGCAAAAGCGTCACACTGGGCGGCAGCGCCTTGTCGAGTGGGATAAAGAGTTTGGGGACGTACGCCTTGTCAACAAGTGCGCGGGGAATCCCGACAGCGTGAAATGTAAAGCTTTGCTTCTCGATCACGGTGATCTTGACGGTCGACGAGAGCTTGGCCGCGAGCGCTTGGGCAAACTGGATGCCGGCAGGACCGCCACCGATGACGACAACGTGTTGTTGCTGGACCATGTTGGGAGTGTTGAGTAGATGCAAGATTTGGAAATGAATTTAGGGGGTGACGACGAGATGCTTGGCGCCATTTTAGGAGGGGCAGGATCTCGCGACTGATGATGGGCATGCGGCGTGGCCATGGTGCTGTTGTTGTTGATGGCGCGATGGCCATCATCGACGCATGATTGGCTACATTCCAACGAATCAGAGACGATGAATAGGATCTGGCTCCGTGGATTGGCTGAAATGCAGCGCGCGAGACACAACTCGGCATGGTCTCTGGCAGGTGGGACGTCGGGGAAGCAACTTCTGCGCCACACGCACATGGAGGACTACAAAATCTGCGCATATCTTCAAGTATACAAGTCTACGAAGTTCAACGAATGGGGCTTGGATATTTGGGATTTTGTTGAAATAGTAGTATATTTTGTTGATGGTCGAGTGTGCACATTTCACCAAAACTATTTACTAGTGCAGGGGCATGCAGAAATTTGCAGTTAACGTTAGCTAGTATTGTCGAGACACTGCTACAATGCTGAATCGAGTAGGAATGTTCCTCGTTTAGAGTTTGACACCGAGATCTCCAGCCTTTGCTGTGTTTGGTTTCAGGCTCGATAGAGGGTCATGGGTAGAGCGGTCGGAGATGGCCAATCCCTTGCGCATGCTTTGCATGGCAGTCGGCAATCGCTCGGACGCTCGCGGTCGACGGGTCGTGGAGCGGCACGCCTGACGCCAGTCGGGTAGGAACATCATTGGCCTCGAGGCGCACCGCATAGAGGCGCCACGTTTTCACATCAAAAAGTAAGAGCTGACTGCGCACAGTTAACGTTACAAGCCCATTGAGAAGCGCGGAGGCTCTGTCCATGTAGTAGACATCGTGATAGAACCACTCGTCGTGCTTGAAGAGAAATTTGGCGCCTGCCGTTAGCATAAACGACTTGCTGCGCCGCGCGTCGTTGGTTTTTACGGGCCAAAAGACTCGAACAAGTCCAAAGGCGAGTGCGTTGGAGACAAATACTGTCCCAAGAATAAACAAGAGTCGATCGTAGAGCCCAATCGCGATTCTGGCGGTCGAACACGTCACTTGATAGTCCAATGCCGGCGAGGAACATTGCAGATCCATCTCGGCCGTATCGGCCACAGGTTGAAGCGAGCTAACCGACGCTGCGATCGCCAAGACAAGCACACTGTGGAGCGTCACGTAGCGGGCCGAGTGCTCTTGCGTGAGAGGCAGTCCGATGTCGTTGACGATGCCCGCCAGCCATGTGACCTCGCTCGCCGCCAAGCACGTCGACAAGGTGGGTGGCACTTCGGACTTGAAGTATGTTAAAAAACCAGTGGTCTCGAGCGAGAGAGTGGCCGTCGAGAGGAGGCAGAGTGCCGTGAAGCTGCGCACGAGCAAGAGCGGACGACCGACCCAGACAATGCCGCCGACGCGGCTGAGTTTGAGCGTGCCCTCGATGTGGCCACGACTGGCCAGAATGTAGATACCAGTGAGTCCCGCGAGCGACGCGATCGCTAGCGTGACGTACTGGACGACAGCAAACGCGTAGAGCGCGTACGCGCTGCAAAGCTCGGCGCTTTGGACAGGCTCTACCGTTCGAAGAACCAAGTCGGAGAGAAGTGTGAGGGTGCCAGTGTCACCAGTGAACGAGACAACGTCACGCCAATCACAGATCCAGTCGTGAATCAGCGCGTACCCAAAAAACCGGAATTCATCGTCGAGCAGCGGCGATGTGTACAAGGTCATGGGTGCCAACGCCGCCGAGTCCATACCGTACTGCATAAGCGCAATGTTGAGACCTAATAGCGTCGCATGCACAGTAGCCATCTGCGTCGCATTGCGATCCAGCGTTGCCGTCCCCGCAAGAGTGGTACGCAGCATGGCTTCGCAGTCGACGTCGGCGCCCGGCACTTGACGGTAGAGCGACGTGAGGTTGGTCGTCGGCGACAACCCCGCAAAAAGCGACGCAAAAACCACTTGCTTGGGTATTTGTACGTACATGGCCGCCAACGAGCCTCCCGAACACGTTCTTTCAAACAAAAAGAGACGCTGCAACCCGACGGAAATGGGACTTGAACTTTGCAACGACGACGCAGGGCAAAGAAGCGAGCCCCCGCCCGAGTAGAACCCCAAGTCGAGCCAGGATACTGGTACCATGGAAGTGAGAAAGGACACATTGATCGCAGCATACGCTTCTTGATTCGATCGGGACGAGGCTCGATGCGCGGCGACCGCGGTCCATACGTCCCGTGCTGCGAGTCGCACGGTACGGGGCACCGGCACGTACTTTGTGTCGATCGTTCCAAATGGCCCAAGAAAAGCGCGAACCGCGGTGAAACCAGCATCGAGTGGCGACTGCAAGAACGTGCCATTCTTCAAGTAGACGTCTTCGAGAGACTGATTGGCATAACGAAAGGTGGGCGATGCCCGCAACAAGCTCTGGGAGGTGTTGGTTGCCATAGCCGAGTAGAAATCGTTGGCCAGCGACCAGTAAAACTTGAACGTGGTTTGCGACTCGAGACGGAACTGTCCGTTCGAGTGCTGAAGCGTGAACGGGTACGCGACCCCAAGTGCGTTCTCAACACTATATGTGTTGGTAAGGCCAATGCTCTTGAAATTTTGCCACTGCAATGCATATATGTCCAGCCCATGACGGCGCCAGAGGTCGACTTCGTCTGCGATCGAACCTCGCGGCGCGCGAAACGAAGCTAGCAGCGAATGGCCCGCCGACGACTGCTGCAGAAAGGCACCAAATGCGCTATGAAAGGCATCGCCCCAGCATGCGTCCCACTGCGTCCAAGCAACGTTGCGCAAGAGCGACGCCATGTAGACGGCGGCGTTGGACCGCAAATGCGTGTGGCAGCGCGCTTGACGTGCTGTCGATGCCGCCATCTCGTAGACGCCGCCGAAATCGAGATAGCAGTAAGCGGTAAAGACCCACGGTGCGAGACATGGGTTGAGACGCCGAAGCGCATCTACGGCTGTCCCAAGCGATGTCAGCGTCGTGTACTGCATCTGAGCACCAAAATGAGACGGAGAGCTTGTGATGGGCTCACCGGCGGGAGCCAACGCACTCAACGATGGCGCTTCGAGTGTCAACGGACCCGACGTCACACTGAGCGACGGCTAACGCCAGAGGTACGTTGAGAGAAACACATGCGTATGGGTGAGCTTGAAGCCGGGCCAGACAAGGTCGTTCACGAGCGCGCGTTGCACGACACTCAGACACGAGTAGCTGCTCCAGACGTCCGCGGCGACGTAGAGGAACCCAGCCAACGCAACGTAGCGAGTATACCGAGAGGGCGACGGACCGTGCAGCGCAAGGCGCGGGAGCACCCGCAGGTGCGGTGGTGCCACTCGCACGATGACCCAGAGCTTGACGTCAAATAAGATGCGGCCGTATCGCAGTGGAACACGGCCAGAGAGAAGAGAGCTAACGTCGTCGAGGTCCGCCGTCAAGAGAACACTAGCGGCACCAGAGAGAAGCACGCTGTCCGAGCGACGTGCGGTTTGTCGGTGCCACAGCCGAGTGGTCAATGCGATGAAGAGACCGATCGTTTGGATGGCAAGCAGCAGCACGACACGGCGGGTGCTGCCGATCGTGATGGAGCCATGCGAGCACGTCAGAGTGTAAATATAGTCGGTGCTAAAACACGACATTTGCAGGTCCATCACGACATCGACCGGTGCTATCGTATCGTATCGAGGATGACGTAGCTAACCCAAATCAACGCAGCGTCGAGATTCCAGCCGTTGGGTTGCAAAACGAGTAGGACCTCACTCAGTGCATACGTTATCCATGTCGCCTCGCCCGCAAGTACGAGCGTCTCAAACATAGGCCAGTGGCCCGTTTGTAGAGCAGAAATACCGTTCGTATGCGAGAGTGTGACGGACGAGGTGCTGAGAAGCATCGCCGCCGAGCATCCGCGAAGCAGCATCAACGGTCGCCCGAGCCAGGTCGACCCGACAACGCGATGGAAGACAAATAGACTTTGGCCCGCAAATGCCAGTCGCAGCCGAAGGCCGAGCCAAGAACACAGAAGAGCTGTTGCTGAAAGAACGAGCGACGAGTAGAGCAGAGTGTAGATGAGGATCGCTGAGGCTTGGCCCAACGGCGCCGTGTTCAAGTCCACATCTCCTGCATCGGTATACGCGTCGGAGAGTAGGACAAGTGTGCCGTTGTCTCCTTCAAACGAGACAACTTCACGTTGCCCGGTCGCCCAGTCGTAGACAGCTGCCCAACCGAAGACCGGATCAAAGAGGATCGGCGCGGTGAGAAGCGTCCACTCGGTGCCTTGGTGATTCGAAGCAAACTGCATGAGCTGCACGTGACTCGCGTTCACTGTGGACGCCAACGACGCCATAGTCGATGCCGTCCCCCATCTCAAGGTCATTGCAAGGTCGCGGGCCACTGAGACGCGATGCACACAAGCAGCATCTGTGATGGGTGCACAAAGGTCTTGGACCAATGCCGCACTCATGCTCATGGCAAACACCAAAGCAGCCGGCGATACCACCATCGCAGCACGCTTCTGTTTGTTGCATGCGTCCCCAAAAGCAAAGAACGGCTGCGAAAACGACGTTGCCGCGTTATAGAGACACATGGGGTTGCCACCGTACAAGAGGAACGAGCCATTTTGCCACCACGTTGGCACCGGTGGAACCGAGAGAGGAGAGAGCTGTTGCTGGTAAGCACTTGCAGCACTGCGGTTGGCTTCAAGCATCAGGTAGAGGCGCTGTTCAAAGGCGGTAATCGCAGTGACTAGCGCGGGTGGTGGCGCCACGACAAACAGATCCACCGACAAGAACGGCCCAACTGTATCGCGCACAAGGCCCGTTTGGTGAACGAACTGGCCATTGCTGTCGCTGAGCCCAAGGAAGCCTTCGAATTCGGGTGTTGCCGAATAGATGCATTGTGCATTCCGAAAGTAGTTGGTCGCGTCCCGCACAAGGCTTTGGCCGCACGCGGCCATAAAGTAGATTTCGTTCATGAAGAAGACATTGAAGATGCTCGACGTCCACGGCCCCCGCACGTACGTCGAGCGGTGCAACTCGAGTGTCGACGCGAGGTTGAATGGATTCAGAACCGTCAGCGTCGACTGGAGGCCGGTGAACGCATTGTTTTGCCACTGTAGTGTAAAGTGCGTCAACTCAAACGATCGCCAATACGCGGCTTCGTCTTGGAGAGACGACGCGCAGTGGGTCGTCGCATTAAGCCACGCGTGACCTGCATCGCCTGACGCGGTGATTGCGTCCAAAACAGCCATCTGCAAGTTGTCGCCGTCGACGCCCATGAGACTTGTCCAGTTTTGGTTGCGCAAAATGGCATCCAAATCGACGGCGCCGTTCGTGCGGTACCGGGCTTCGCACCGAGCTTGGCGCACGTCCGAGTGTGCGAGCTCCCAGCGCCGGCCAAAGTCGACGTAGCAAAAATGCGTCGGCAGCATTAGCGTTTGATCCGCTGACATGTTGCGGACATTTGCGATAGCGTACTCGATGGACGTGAGCTTTGTGAGAAGCAAGGCTCGTGCAAGCGTCGGGTGCGGCTCGGGCAAGTGACTCGTTGTTGACGGTGCATAGGATTTTGCAATCCTGACAGCGGAGAGATTGATGATATTGTCCACATGTGGCTGCTCCAAAATGCTGTTGATGGCGTCGACAAGAAAGAGCTCGTACCCACTCGAGTTGTAGCCTGGCCACAGGTCGTTCCCAAAGGTGTACGAAAGCGGCACGAGGTAGTAAGCCCCGACGGCCATGGCGAACCAGAGGTAGAGTAGCCCAAGGACCGCGATGCAAGTGGCTCGGCGCGAGCGTCTCCATCCGTCGGAGGGTGGGCCCGGCTGAAGAGGCAGCACAGGGTACATTTTGAAGAGTCGGAACTTTTGGGGTTGGCGTTTCGGCGCCAAATTCACTCAACTGATGGTGTGCGACCAATCCTAAAGATGACGCACGCGATGTTCCTTGCGATGCCAACGCCACAAAACCAAACAAAACATCAAATTGGCAGAGCACACCAGGGTAGCGAATCTCTACACACTCGGTGCTACGCTGTGAGCAATGACTACGTGTATTCCGCTTGCACCTCTGCATTTAGAGGTGTGGTACTCCAACAGAGAAAACTGGTCGACCTTCAGGGTACATACTCTCCATGCACATGTGCCACCGAAGTTGCTTCCCCGATGTCGTACCTGCCAGAGGCCATGCCGAGTTCTGCGTGTGCGAAGTCACTCGAATGAGAGTGTAACGGCAAATCCTGCATTTCAGCCAATCCACGGAGCCCAATCCTATACATCGTCTCTGATTCGTTGGAATGTAGCCAATCATGCGTCGATGATGGCCATCGCGCCATCAACAACAACAGCACCATGGCCACGC